CTTGCTATGTAGGAGGGAAAAAATTAATGGTTGGGACAGTTGCAATTGGAGGATTCTGGAGTAAGTTTAAAAGGTTGGGTGTAGAGATGAAAGGGAACGGCTTTTGCTGGTGTCAGGGTTGGGAGGGGAGTGCCGGGAGAGAGAGCGATTTTGGCTCAAGCCGTGAGCGGTTCAAGGGAAGTGTGGCCTCTGCGCCCCTCTTTCCTGCTCCTCTCTTCTCTTGCCCCCTTTTCTGGGACCACCACCTCAACCCGGCTGTTTGATCCAGCAATCTTGCTCGCTCTTCCGCGCGATTGCTGAAATCCGTCGCGGCAATCCTGGCGCTGTTCCTTGATTGCGTTTGGGACGGCGACATGTCGCGATCGGACCCGGAGGGCAGAAGAAACTCACTATTTCCAGTGCTTTGGGGACTTTACGACCCGCTACCCGACCGTGACCGGCGAGCCCACAGGACAGCGAGCCCTACTGCCCGACCCAGGGCTTTCAGTACCTCGACCGGCGACTACCTGTACGTCGGGTTCGTGATAGTGGCAGGAAACCAAGAATTATATATATCCTTGCCTATACCCGAAGCAATGGGGGCGGGGAGTGCCACCGGCAGAAGCTTTGAGCCTAGACTCGATTCGAGAAGTTTTCAGGAGTGAGATAGAGGGAGCCGTTTCTGGTTTGACGGACCGAGTGGCAGCGCTGGAGCGTAGCCTTCAAGCGCACAACAACTGCACTTTCCAAGCGGTCGAGACCTTGTCGGCCGGCCAGGCAGAACAGGCGCTGCAAATTCATCAACTGGCTCCCGACTCCAAGACCACCCTGCTCGAGGGTACAGTCAAGAACCTCCAGTCGGCAGGGAGCACTCCTTCTACAATGGATGCAGGCAGGGTGCCGGCCCTGGGAATGAGATGAAATGCGGGGATGGCCCCCAGCTAGTGACGTGTCCAGAAAGCAAGCCAGATGGCTGGCAGGTACGGTCTGGTTTAAAGATCAGACATGTGGGACATCGTCAGGTCCCGCCAACTCCACCCACGCAGGCTGCGGCTGGATCGACCTGCCACTCATCTCCAGACTCCTCGCCGTCGACGCCCAACAGCTACTTAAGACGTGGGAGCCGTTTTTGGCGGCCCTTCGCTGATTGGACCAAGACTTGCTGGAGGGGGCACCCTTTGAACCGTTTCACGAGCCTTTGGAGTTGCATCAGCAGCCTCAGCCTCAAGAGGAGGCTCCTCGGCAGCACAGACGTGACTCCCTGCATTGTTCCATTTGGAATCTTGGCGGCATGAGCCCGGACTTAGTCCTTGACTTGCTCGCTGGCTTCCAGGCAACCACCCCTTTGTTTAGTCTCCAGGTCGTGCTTTTCCAAGAAATATTAACCTCTGCAGGCACCCTCGTTTCTGCCCACCGTTTTTTGTTTCAAGTACGTTCGGTGCCGCTGCCCTCGTGAAAGCCTGCTAAGTTATAAGTTAAAGTTATAACACTGTATCTGAAGCTCCCCGACTTTCCTGCATGAAGAGATGCTTTGGAGCCAATGACAGAATAAGCTATCAAAGGCTAGCAAGAGTAGCCGCCAAGCTCGTTACCCAACTACACCCAAATTTCGAAAGCCAGTCAGCCTCCTGGGAACTTCGAGCGGGCGTCTTTCTTACTGCATCGCCTGGTATTGTTCGAGTCTATTATTGTGTTGCTGCGCGCGGTGGGGAGGCAACTCCCC